CCCCTGTGATACAGGATGTCAATAGTAGGAAAGGTTGTATGTGTTTAGGGTTAGGGATTATATGGGAACTATTTGTTCCTGGGCAAGGGCATATATCTGGGTTGCAGGCTCAATCCCTAGTCCCAGTCAGGGCACATGCAGGAGGCAACCAATAGATGCATCTCTCTCATATTGATGTTTCTCTTTCTCTCTCTCCCTCTCCCCCCTCCCCACTACCCTTCTCTCTAAAAATCAATGGGGGGCGGGATCTTAGGATGAGTATTAACAAATATATCTATATATATATATAAAAGCCTAAGCAACTGTCTGACCGTCTGACCGGCCGCAGCCGACCAGCCGGTAGCTATGATGAACACTGACCACTAGGGGGCAGACACTCAACACAGGAGCAGAAACCACAGGTATGGAAACATGAAACAGACTGATGAATCTCAGAGGGAAGAGGAGTCGGGGGAAAGGTGGGAAGAGATTAACCACAGATTTTACATGCATACTAGAGGCCTGGTGCACAGATTTCTGCACCGCTGGGGTCCCTCGGCCTGACCTGTGGGGATTGAGCTGAAACTGACTCTCTGACTCATGATCCCCTGAGGAGTCCCAGATCATGAAAGGGTGCAGGCCAGGCACAGGGACCCCACTGGTGCACGAATCCGTGCACTGGGCCTCTAGTATATATATATTTGAACTCTGTACTTGCTGTTCAATTTTGCTGTGATCCTGAAACTACCCTAAAACACAAAGTCTATTAATTAAAAAAACAAAAACTCTGGTGCCATTTGTTCTGCATGGGATTTCTGAAGTTAGACCACATAAACCCACATCTTTTGCTTATCATATTCTCCTGCTTTATCTACTTCCCCCTCTCCTTTCTCAATATATCACTTAGGCAATAATTCCCATCACAGGCTTTGCTTCTATCGAACCAACCAAATCAGAGTGTGGGTGTGGCATACATTATTGCTGACCTGTTCAGAACTTTTCTTCTACTTGAAAGAGTGGGACATGGCAGACTGATTTATTTATGTATGTATGTATGTATGTATAGTTCACAGAAGTCTGGAATATAGATGCTGCTAGAAAAAAAAATAGGCATGGAGAGAGTTGAAATGAAACTTCAACAACATTACCATCACTATATCTATGAAGATGGACATATGCCAAGGACAAATTGCACCTACTTTAAGGACTTGTCTGGGTGCCAGCTCCTAATTCTCTGTGAAAGAAACAAAATGTTCTCAATTCCTTTCACTCACTGTATTTGTTTCCTGTGGCTTCTATAACAAATTACCACAAACTGGATGTCTTGTACCAACAGAGATTTATTCTCTCATAGTTCCAGAGGCTTGACCTCAAACATCAAAGTGTTGACAAAGCCACACTCCCTCTAGGCACCCCACCGGAGAATCCTTCCTTATTTCTTCCAGCTTCTTGTGGCTGCGGGCAATCCTTAGCTTCCTTGGCTTGTGGCCACATTGCTCTAATTCCTGCCTCTGTATTCAAGTGGCCTTTTCCTCGGTGTCGGTAAATCCACCTGACGCTGGATTTAAGGTTCACCCACATAATCTGGGATGAACTCCAGATCCTTAACATAATTACATCTGCAAAGACCCCTGTTATAAACAAGGAAACCTTTACAATTTCAGAGATTAGGAGGTAGCCACATCTTTTTGGTGGCTGCCATTCAGTCTACTATATTCATCAAATTCTTTTTTTTTCCTACTGCCATATAATAATATTTCTTAAGCTTATATGTAAACTTATATTCTGTCTAGTTCTTTCAACTAAACAGCCCATTCAATACCTTAATAAATAAACATAAAAGTAAGAATATCAACTATTAATACATTTTTCTTGTGTCCCAGAAATATCCTGAAAGCTGTTATTCTTCCTGTTTTGCAGCTGAGGAAACTGAGTTTGAGATGAGCTCTAATTTTTCACACTGAGTATTTGAAACTTGGTAACTCCACTGTGCTTCTGACCCCTGTGAGAGCTAGAATAAAAAGACTTTCTAGCAAAATTCACTTTGATCCCTGGGTTCTGAGTATGAGGCAAATAGTAATGTTCTTAGGATCATAGTAGACTAAGAAGAGTTCAGGCTGGCGTGCATGGGCCCTCATTTGTACTGTAGAGTGATGTCGTAGAAAGAGCAAGTGTTCTGTGTTTTGCAGGGGTAGCTAGAGTCTTTACCTGTGTACCTTTACTAGATTTTGGAATTTGGACAAGTCACAAAATTTCTCTAAGGCTGATTCCTAACCTATTAAATTAGGATGTACCCGCTTCACCCATGTGGCTGCTTAAGGAGTAACTGAGTTAAAAGCAAAATCACCTTCCCTAGATTCAGTACACATTTATACCCAATAAATAATAATTTAATAATTTTTATATTATTAAAAGTTATCCTTCTGATGCATTTGCAGGCCACAAGCAAAAGGAAAAAAAAAAGGCATCCAGAATAACTTCCCATCTCCCCATTTTATAAAGCTTGACAAATATCCCCCACCTGCTCCACCATGCTGGCTCCCTTCCTCTACAAGTTTGGAAGACAAACCTTGAGAATATAAATCTCCTCAATCGATGCTTTCCCTACTTTGATATGTCCTTTTCTTCAATTACCCATAAAACACTCATTTCTAAAGGATAACAGGTTTACATACAGAGCAGACTATTTTCTTTTCTTACCTTCACAACCCCTACGTCACCATCACCACCGAATGTTCAAAATTTACTGTATGAACCTCCTAGACAAAAGAGATAATAAAGTCACTATTTTGCAGAAAAAGGAAGTCATTCAGCAAATTTCCTTCTACAGGGCCATTAGAAGGCTTCTACGGCCTCTTCAGCCTCACTCCTCCAAACGTGGAGCCTAGACCACCAGCCCCAGTAGCATCACCTGGGAACTTGAGAGCCATGCATTTCTACAGTGAACCCCAGAGTCAGAACCTCCGCAGTGGTCCCAGGAGGGTGTGCTTAGCCAGCCCTCCAGGTGATTCTGATGCCCGCTGAAGTTTAGACACTCCTTGCTACAGCAGTGGTTCTCAAACGTGAGCATGCATCAGAATCACCTGGAGCCTTGTTACAACGATCATTAGGCTCCTCTCCCAGAGTTTGTGGAGTTTGTGATTCATGTGCGTGGGGCTGGGCCAGAGGATCTGCATTTCTCATCAACTTCCAGATGATGCCGGTGCTGCTGGTCCAGGGACCACAATTTGAGAACTGCTGTACTACTGCACATCCGGAGGTAAATTCATCGGTTTGTTTTTCATCTCTCGATATAAAAACTTGAATAAGGAGCCTTGTCAGAAGGGAAAGAAAACAATCCACTGTCTGGAAGATTGCTTTTACATCTGGCTTTCTCATTACATGTAGGGTTCTTGTATGCTACTTGGATATTTGTTAAGAGCCAATTCTTCCACTCTCTATGGGCAGGACATTACTAAGTCTCTTCTCATCTCCATCAAAATCTCTCAGGCCCACCCTTTGCCTCCTGAGCCTGGTTATTGCTCCAAGGTGGTCCTTTCTGCCCCCAAATCTATTCTATTTCCCTTTGTGTTCATTCTTCATGTTATCACAAGGCACACCTTCCAACACTTTGGTATTAAAGTATAAAGTTTGTGAAGTTTTCAAGGGCTCTGTAGTTCCTACCGTATCAAATCTAAACTTTTTCTGAGTTTAGACCCCATCATCTAGTCTCTCTTTACAACTAGTACTTGTCTCATTCATTCACTCACTCTGTTTTGCTCACATTGGTCCCTTTCCTGTCCCACACACATAGGAATTCATTTTTCTCCTTGTTACTGTCTTTATTTGGAGTGCTCTTCTTTTCCCATCTAAACCCCACACATCCTTCAAGGCTCAGATGAAGTGCCATTTCCAACCCCAGTTTGCACACCAGCCACCACTTCTCCCTGTCCACAGCACATATTACTAGTCAGTCGTGTACCTCAAACTGAAATAACCTATACCACCTCTGGATCCTACTTAACACAACACTTCAGGCCACTGCTGCCAATCAAAGTGTGCACAGAAGATGGCATCTGTATCCTACCCCTTTGTGGCGGTTGTTAAACTACCGATAGTCTACCATCAGGTATCTATTAATTGTACTCCTTCAGAATCTCACCTAGACTGAAATATAAGGTAAGACCTGAGGAATACAAATTTGTTTTCTAATTAAACAGAAGGTATTGTAACAGATACCAGTAACTCTTACACTTGATCTGGCTGACTTTACTCTAGGGAGAGCCACATTCCCCTGAATTCCTCATCTACCACCTCAAAAGATAATATTAGAAATATTTGAATTCATTCCTTAGATTTCCACAGAATAAAGTGGGAATTATCCTCATGTTTTCAGTAGTGAAGGAAGCAGACAGATATGACATTTCTATCGTCTCAAAAGGAAACTAGCACCAAATAAGTCAATGACCCAAGCATTGTGTCTCACATAAGAGCAACGGTATAAGATAATGACAGTGTTTGACAGTGACACCATGTAAATGCCGAGCCTTATCTTAATTTGATTTCACATACATGGGAGCTAATTTTTTAAAAATCTGAAATAAACTCTTGACCTCAATCCTGTTGTTACCTGTTCATATCTTGAAATACAAAGTACTAAGAGAAATGTAGGAGAGGCACGGAGGCTGCAATTAAATCTGCTTCTTGAATTCTTCATTGTCTCGCTTTTCATGAGCTCTAATTTAAACATCTTATTTATAGTATAATGTTCTTAAGAGGTTGCTGGGTGTATTTATTTTTTTTTTCATTTTTTTTTTCAAGTACATTTGCACATTTATTTATTTATTTATTTTTTTTACCTGTCTGGTGCTATTCTTTATTTTACAAAAGTATAAGAGGAAAAATTCATATAATGTTTTGTCATCGATAACTAATAACTGAGATGCCAAACCAAACCAGTGAAAGAGTAGCAACCACGTGAGCTGAAATTTTTAAAAGATCCATTCACTGCTGCCAATCAACACACTTCCTTCTGATGCCCACAGCCCATTCATTTTCTTTCTCTGTTATTAAACAGGAAATGGAGGGACAGCCTGTGCCAAATGACTTCAAGGTCAACGTGAAGCTGAATACCACCCCAGGGGAAGATCTGATTAAGATCCTGGAGGACATGAGGCAAGAATACGAGTTTATGATAAAGAAGAAGCATCGAGACTTGGATGCTTGGTATAAAGAGCAGGTAAAAGAAAAGTGTCCAAACTCCCCAAAGGTTCCATGTCCATGTGGCCCAATGCCAACGCCTCTGCTCTTTGCTCGGACACAGTCAGCAGCCATTGCCCAGGAGACCGCCGGTCCAACCGCTGTGCAGACCAACCAGGGCAACATCCATGAGCTGAAGCGCACTTTCCAGGCCCTGGAGATTGACCTGCAGGCGCAGTGCAACAGGGTGAGTCTGAGCTAGGACCATCCTGAGTCAGGTCATGTCAGCGTAAGGAGGTAAGGAACAGATCAGGGCAGGCACCTTGTGCAACAAATGCCACGAACGTGCGGCAGAGCCGCCAAGAGAACCCCCGACACAAAGGTTTTACGCCAAGAAAATGGGCTTCAAGAGTCCAGACACTGCTCAACTCCTGGCTGCCCACGTCCCCAACCTATGAGTCAGCCTGCTTCCCCTCTTTGCATTCCCAGCAGCCACCAAGACACCTCGCAGAGTGGTCAGCGGATTCTAACTACTCAGCAAGCACGCATTATTTTTTTTTTTTTAATTTTTATTGCTTAAAGTATTACAAAGGGTATTACATATGTGTCCATTTTATCCCCCCGCCCTAGACAGTCCCCTAGCCTCCCCTATCCCCCAATGTCTTATGTCCACTGGTTATGCTTATATGCATGCATACAAGTCCTTTAGTTGATCTCTTACCCCCCTACCTTCTGCCGCTGGGTGTATTTAAATGGGGATGTTCATTGGGATGGTTCTAGCAGAAGTTGGGTCCTATCTCATTTTGCTAAGTAACAGTTCTTCTCAACTTCTAAAAACTAATGCAATTTCCTTTTTCAGTCTAATTTTTATGTTCATTGTTACTGCTCTGTATTTTTTTTTTTACCTTGGGCTGTGGGAGTTTAATAATGTTTTTAGTTTTAATATTGTTACTAATATTTGTAATCTTCATATCATGATATTGGTATCTTCCTATACAACTTCCCATACCTCTTGACATTTAAAAAAAGTAAGTAAAGTTTAGAGTAGAGAATAAGTTAAAAATAGTGTGAATTAGAAACTGAAAAAATAGTGAAAAGTATAGGCTATGTTTTAAATATATATGTTTTAAATGGGCTTAGAAAATAAACAGAAGTGATTTTCCAACTGTACATAAAGTTGCTTTCCCTACCTACTCTTATTATCAGCTAATACATGACTTGGGTAATAAGTACAATTATATTATTTATGGCTTACTGGAATAATATGATGCCAGTATATAGGGCCCCATGCATTTTAGATTAATTATACACTGGCCTCTCTTATTCTCCCCAAATTACCTGTTTTAGGTTGAGTTCTCCAGAAGTAGACCCCGAGACCTGTGTAAGCTCTTTAGGAGGGACATGGTCCAACAGAAACTGGTAAGAGATGTGAGAAAGGGCAGGGAAGGGGACAAAACCATGAAAGGGTGATTTCAGGTCTCAACCTCTGCCTGATCTGCGAGGGAGCTTCAAGTGTTTATCTCTCATTGAGACAAGGGGGCCGGGCTTTCGCACTTACTAGTCATTGGCTACTGGTAACCCGCCCCCCTCCTCCGCACAGGAACATAGCCTCCCAGGGCCTTCTGCCTCTCAGTTTGCCCCATGGTCCGCAAACCACAGCTCTCGAGCCACATGTGGCTCTTTGGCACCTTGAGTATGGCTCTTCCACAAAATACCACGTGCGGGCACGCACATACAGTGCGATTGAAACTTCGTAGCCCATGCGCAGAAGTCAGTATTTTGTGGAAGAGCCACACTGAAGGGGCCAAAGAGCCATATGTGGCTGGCGAGCCGTGGTTTGCCGAGCCACAGTTTGCCAACCACTGTTGGGCGAATCATCTCCAGTTGCTAAGAGTAGGTCTATAAAGAAGACTGTAATTGCCAGGTGTTTCCATTGATCATCTTGTCCATCAGGTCAGCTATGAGGATGCATCATTGCTTCATCTAAGGATGCTTTTTTTGTGTGTGGAGAATAGCCTCCAGCCATACTCTTTCCAGCCCATCAGAACTTCACCACAAAAAGTATTCTGCCAGGTCATAGACCTCCACAATTCCTATTTGCCCTTACTTCCAAATGCAGGGACACCATCTTTTCTTCATCAGGTTTCCCCTCTCTTCAACCATGCTACTGCTACATAACAGAACACAAACACAATTTCAAAGTCTTAAAACAAGAACTATTCATTTAGTATAGAAGTCTATGGGTTGGCAAGTTGGTCTGGGACCAGCTGGGTGGTTCTTCTGGTTATTCTGGTCTTGTTGGAAGTGCCCTTGTGTGTCTGAGGTCAGCTGCAGGTCAGGTAGGAGGCTTTCCTGATGTTTAATGAACTCTATCTTATCTCTCAGCTGTGACAAGCGGAATCATTCATGTCTTCTCCATGTAAAATGTGTTCTCTCATCCTTCGACAAGTTATACCAAGCTTATTTATGACAGTGACAGGAACACCTACAGAACAAATGGCATTGTGTAACATCTCCTGAGGTCTAGGCTCAGCACTAGCCAACTATCACTTCTGCACAGGTTTTATTAATCAAAGCAGCTCACACAGCCAGGTCAGGTTCAAGAGGTGGAAATTAGATGCAGAGTCATATTGCAAAGGGCATAGATACAAATGTAAACAATTGTGTTTATGCTTTTCAACATACCACTACCCTCCTACTCTCAGAAACATTAACTTAATTCCAGGATAAGCCTAATCTTCCCAACAAAGTTTCAGGTAGAGGTTACCTCCTGACTGACACTCAAAGATGCTGTCTCTCACTCCAGTACAAAGTCTTGTCTGCTATTGGGCAGGGAATTAGTCAAAATTCTACAGATTCTACAGAGAGATAGCATCCATAAGATATATAGAGACATATAGAAAGAGATTTATTGTGAGGGATTCACTCTTCCAGAAACCCCTTCACAGGCAGAGAAATAACCTTTACCAGTTATCTGGGCATCCTTAGCCCATGAAGTTGACACATAAACCATCTCAGGCCTAGAGAGTAGAGAGAGGAGTTAAGCTCATTATAAGATAGAAATTACTCTCAGTAGATTATCCCTCTAGATATATTCAATAATGTTTATTTTATGTTCATTTTGTGTATTGTGTGGGGGGGAGTGAGTGTGACATGCATCTTGTTTATCTCCAGGTGACTTCTAATGATTGAAATCACAAAAGGGAGTAAGAACATAATTCTATTTTCACATGCTGGGCACAATTAGCTGTTTTGCCTTGGAGATCATGCCCAGTAATTCTAACTTGTGAATTGGATAATGATAAAGGTTCTTTTGTGCCCACATTCAGGTGTCCATTTTAAATAAGATAATTCATAACTAAAGCCTGTCCACAGAGTGTGAGGCTGAGGAAAGATCTCTACAAGTTTCAAATGATCCAATGTTATCTCCAAAGAATTTCTTCACAAGAGAGAAACATATTTTATCAGTTCTAAGATATTCATTTTTCATATTTTAACATCTCTGAAATTGAGATGTATCTTCAAATTCATCTCTTAAGATTATTTGGCAGCATTTTCCTAATGGCCTATAGAATAGTGTGAATCTTACAACCAATGTTGTCTTAGACTCAATGATATACAAGAAGAAGTAGTTGTTTCCTCATATAAAACACTGGCCTGTAACACGCACATGATTACTAAACGTGTAACAGGCAAGCCTTTTGACATGACTGCTCAGTAATTTAGTAGGTTTCACTTTTTGAACACTGAGTAAATTAAATTCCCGGTTCAGCCAGGTGGAGTATATGCATGGGGTAGGATGACCATGCTAGCAAGCATCAGAGGTATTCTTCAAAATCATCATCAAACACTTGAGTGAAAGGGAGGAAAAAAACTTTTCTGGCTGTTTTAATAATCAGTTTAAATTTAAAATTAGCTGCACTGTGTAAAATAAGTGTCACTGAGTTACTATCAAAAAGTAGCCTTAGCACCCTAGCTGGTGTTGCTCAGTGGTTAGAGTGTAGGCCCATGCAATAAAGGGTCACAGGTTTGCTTCCTGGTCAAGGGGGCATATCTGGGCTGAAGGTTTGATCCCCCACTTCAGTCTGGACACCAGTCGATGTGTCTGTCTCACATTGATGTTTCTCTCTCTCCCCACTTCCTCCCTGCCATTCTCTCTAAAAATCAATGGAAAAAAATATCATCAGGTGAGGATTTGCAAAAAATAAATAAATAAGAGTAGCTTTAGCTGCATAAAATTATGATAAGTCTCTAGGCTTATAGATCTAGTAAAAGAAATTTCATAGGAATCAACTGAGTGAGACCTGGCATTTCCAACTTCACCCTCCAGGTTCATGCCTTATATACTCTGTTTGAAAATATTTTTCCTAGTTACCAGGTGAAAAGCGTTCCCAAATCCAATTTCAATATGTGGAGATGGGGACTCACCCGATACCAACGAACAATTCTCAGATACCAGCAGGATGTCTGAGAATTCAACTTAATTCTGACACTCTAGGTAGCATCAGATTCTACAGGTTAAGTGCTCAGTCCTACAAGAGTGTCCCCTCCCCCACCCACCACACACACTCACACATTTCAGATGGCTGTCACCAGCCCAGGCTCTTACCTGTGCTTCTTACCGACTGGCTATAGATTGGAGGTTCCAATGACTCCCTCCAATCCAGAATGCCAATTATAAGTCCAGGTTGTTACCTATACTTCTGACTGACTGGCTATAAGTCAGAAGTTCTCATACCTCCCTCCTTGGGTTCAATTAATTTTCTAGAACAGCTCACAGAACTCAGAGAAACAGTTTACTACTTGCTAGATCACTTGTTTATTGTCAAAGGATATATATAACTCAGGAACAGCCAGATGGAAGAGATGCAGAGGACAAGGAATGTGGGAAAAGCCTCAAAGCTTCCTAGCCTCTCTGGGTGTGCCACTTTCCCCAACCTTCATGTGTTCACCAACCCAGAAGCTCCCGGAACTCCATCCTCTTGGGTGTTCTGGAGGCTTCATTACATAGGCAGTACTGATTAAATCACTGGCCATTATAATTGGTCTCCAGACCCTGGAGATTGTAGAGGTGGGACTAAAAGTTCCAATCCTTAAATCCCATAGTTGGTTCTCCTGGCCCCTTCCTGAAGTATATCCCCAAAGTTACCTCACTAACATAATAGAGGACATTGCTTTTATTCTCAACACTTAGAAAGTTCTAAGAGTTTTAAGATCCCTGAGCCAGGAATTGTAGATGAAGACCAAGTATATATGAGAAGTATATTAGTTCATTCA